AAACGGCCTGTAACAAGATTGAAGGAAGAACAAGAACCTTTCCGATCAAGAACAAGTTCTCCGATCCCAAACCTTCCCTGCTCAAATATCTTACAACACTGCTAAGACTTCCCCTTCAAGATGTCATTCCTGCACACTGCACAGGACCAAAGAAAAGAAGTATACACGCCTATCCCACAGAGACCCGACCACAGCCATCTTCATGCAGACCCTGCACAATACAGAAACCGCCTCACGGGCACCTACAAGATGGACACTGTGTACAAGATATCTCATGGGGACTTATTAATTTGTGTTTACTTACATGGACTCAATCAAGGATATATATTGTGTGACTGTTGAATATTGCAACCAGGTATGTTTAATCAAAGCCAGTATATTAATGCCAAAATGTGTCTTTCAAAAATTCAGTTTTATATATGTGCAATATACTCCAAATTACATCTTTAGTCAAGCTAGATCTTTGAAGTTATTGTTTAGGGAATCTTTGAAATGTCTCCAGGCCACGCCAGACATATAGATACAGCTAGGGCCCAGACAATCCTAAGCTGTAGGGTTATCGAGTCACACCTTAAAGCTAGACTCGTAATTTCAAAAATCTAAACGACAAAATTTGTCATTTGTTACAAGTAATTAATGTGCACAGTTTGGTACAAAATTGAATGTATTGTCTAGGACTTTGAATTCAGATTAGGGATATTCATGGGTGAGCCACCCCCACACATATGTTTATTGTATGTCAGTATTAAGTAATTAACAGCACAGCAGTATTCAGCATTTCAGAGTTTTGATGTCGGAATTAAGGATTTTTTTTCTTGGGCATCGCACCCACAATATCTGGGCAAGCTCCGTCAAAGACACGGGAAGAGCACCCATTGTACTTAAAAGGGCAATAGTACCCACAAGTACCGTTTGAGTCACGCGGTAAAGCTAGACTCCTGGTTTCAAATTTCTTTATGCGAAATATTTGCTGAGATGTTTAATTTGTACTTTTTATTATTCGGTACTGAGTCGCACCGCAAAGCCAGACTCCTGAATTCAAAGAACCTTCTGTGATATATTTATTGAATCTGTGCAAAGCAGTAATTACCTTGAGGTGAAATTGCACATTACAAAGATCACTTGGTTAGTTTTTAACTGGCACTAATTCAAATTGGCTAGATGATCACTTTCATACCGCCATTGCATAGATATATTTGTTGCATAAGGATTTCATGTAACTGATTTTGTTCACATTTGCATGGTTGTTTTCCTTGGTAAAAAAAACTCACACATATCAATTTGGACTCATGTAAGCTTGGGGTCCAAGCTTCACGTAACGGAGGGAAGTTGTCATGGTGACTGATTTACGACACCCATTGTCTGAAGAACATTTAATTGCAAAGGCTCATTACCCTGGAGCCATGACATCTATATGCCTTGAAACATTTAATTGCTGTTATTTATAAGATGCTAATCCTAATTGTTAATCCCCAGTTTTGTGTACATCGACCGTCTGCCATCTTGAACAGGATGTGCAAGTATGTCACTGATGATTTACTGTTTACATTTATATTTATTACTTACTAAATGTCAGGTGATCTTGGCTATATAAGCCTTGGTCCAGAATGATGGAGAAAGGAGAGAAGAGAAGGGGTTTGACTCTCTTACCAAGCAGACCTCTCTCCCACAGCCCAGAGTGTGTACCGACTCTCTGTGGCACCCTCAGTTATTATCTAAGTATATTGTAAATTGTTAATTGTTCTTGTAAATAAAATTGTGATTAGTCTCCTGTGACTCTGGCTCTTTGCTGACTAATTCCCCAAGAAAACCAGCACGTCATTTGGAAGGTACTGTTCACCCAGAACAGTTCCATGATAGTCTAGTGGTAGAGTCCGGAAAGTGGAACGTCCGGGGTTCAATCCCGAGCCGCATCATACGATTATACTTGTTGTTACCCTGTCTGGCACTCAGCATTAAGGGGCTAAAACAAGGACTGGTCGGCTTGGAGTCAGTATATTGTGTCTGAGTGGGGTATTCATGTTAAACTGCGGCATGGTATCTCAGTGAGCTAGCACTATAATTGGCATTAGTCCGGACTAGTACAAGCAGCCACACACACAGATACATGTGCATGCACGTCGCTATATAAGTGCAATAATCTTGGACACAACTTTAAACCCCATTTCACCTCACCACCTAGTATTCTGCGATAATATTCGTGATATAGTTCTTGCACCGATTCGAATCTGTAAGAGGTAGTCAATCTCTTGATCAATCATAGGCTTGTTGCAGACCTTCATTGTGGTGTCCCCTTCCTGAGAGCATCCCAGTTCCATCCTGTCAACTGTACCCTCTGGTAGAGCGATGTCTTTGTTCATCTCACTCGCCAAGATGTGTTTCAGGTTAGTGGTTGTTTCATTCCAATCCATTCTACAAAAATAATATGCCTATAGAGGAATAGATTCTTAGGTATAATGCAATAATACCTTCTGTTTATTTACACAGGGGATACAGAAATAAACAGGGGATACGCCCTAAAGTACTGTCGGAAATGCTAGAAAACTGCTTTTTGCCTGTTAAAAAAGATATAATTTTCCAAAGACTGTTATTGAAATATCGAGAAACTACCGATCGCCCTACCTGTGGTTTGAAGTATTTCAGTCACAAGGAGTCCTATCGACAAGTTTACAGGAGACAAATTCGACCGATGTTCACATTGATTCTAAGTCCAATGATGGCAATCTGAAACAGACTATAGAAATATGCGCACGTGACTGCATTATAATGATTATTATGTAGTCTTCATAAAACATCTAATCCACACACAAAAACATTTTAAGAAAATTCTAAATGACAAAATGACGCTGTGTTTGGTTTGTTAACCTTGCTCCAATGAGGCATGTTACATTACACTTGCATACCCATAACCATGGTACACGATCTGGAGTCTGTTACCTGGAAATGTATACAAGTTCTTTACACTTTAGAGAGATAGAGGGAAACCATTTATTAATTTAGATAGGGGGAATTACCAAACTGCCCAAGTCTTCAATTCATACCATCAAGTCTACTTTATGATAAGGAAACTAGACAGTATAGGGGCGGTCTGAAAAACAAAACCGGGACATAAAAGGATATTAGACAGCTTTGATATGGGGTGATTAGGCATATAGTGTAAAGCTTTATGAGCAGAAGGTAACCCTGACTTGTAGTAGAATTTGGGAGGAATTAAAGATACAATTAATGTTTCCCAGACTGCACTAACTATTGCTTTTCAAGAGATGGGATTTCAATACACTGCCCGTGGCGATGACCAAACACTTTTCACGGGAAAATACTCCATCCTGTCTATGAGGTCACATTATCTCCGAACTAATTAATAACTGCCACTGTCAGGGCATCCAGATAATTTACCTTGATGAATCATTCGACTGACTACATGTATACTGAACAACAAAAGCTCCTGTGATATTGAATAAGATTTAATGCAAAGTTATGATTTTTTACCAAATCTGAAACAATTTCGGTTTGCAACAGATAAAAGACTCCTGTAAATGTTCAAATGGTTTAATTTGCCATACTGACTTCAGAAAATGCGTGATTTCATAAAAAAACATGAACATGCCAAAATGTCAATTTACAAATCAATAGCGTGTGTGTCCACCTCTGGTTGCGATGCAAGCAACACATCTTCGTCTCATGGAATGGACCAGGCGTCGCACAAAGTCCTCTTGGATATCTGTCCATATCTTCTGGAGCATGTTTCATCCCACATGTGCTTGATTGGTGAGAGATCAGAAGAGCAAGCCGGCCAGGGGACGACATTCACGTTTTGTTGAAGAAAATCCTGAACAAGTCGAGCAATAAGGAGCCGAGCATTGTCATGTTGAAAGGTAATGCCTGGGCCATGACAATGCAAAAATGGTAGAACAACGACAAAAATGGATGATCTCGTCGCGGTAGCGCTGTCCATTGAGATTTCCCTCTACCACTATCAAACGGGTCCTCTGTCTTGCTGTAATCCCACCCCATACCATAACACTGCCGCCCCCGAACCGATCTTCTTCCATGACACAATGATTGACGTAACGTTCACCTTGACGTCGGTACACTCAAATCCCTCCATCGCTGTGGCTGAGGTGAAAACGAGACTTGTCAATGAAAAGAACTTGTCCCCACTGCATGGCCGTGCAGCGTAGATGCTGTCTGTACAACTGTAGACGTGCTTGACGGTGGTTTCCTGTCAAAATAGGACGTCTGGCGGGTGTTCTGGCGACAATTCCTGCACATCTGGGGCGACGACGTATGGTTTGTGAAGATATTCGGCGAAGGCCAGGGATGCTTCTTGCAGTCACTGTTGCTGGCTGGAATCGAGTTTGTAGGTGTGTTGTTTGAATCCAGTTGTCTTGTCGATTATTGATTACGCTTGGCCTGCCACTCCGAGAATGGTCTCTGACTGCATTCGTCTGTTGCCAACGTTGCCATAAACACCAAATGGTGTTTCTGTGAACGTTAAATTGTCTTGCAACATCACATTGACTCGATCCTGCTTCAAGCATACCAATGGCTCGCAGACGCTCATTTTTGGACAGGCGTGGCATTTCGTAATGTTGAATAATTCCGTAATTTTGTTGTTTTTCTGAGAGGTTGTTGTGAGCACGATGCTAAACAATGCATATGGAATCCCGTTAACGCACATGTTTTATACCCATTCTTGGACAGTGAAATGCATGGGGCTTGCAAAAGTCAACTTTTGCATGGAATGCATGCTTTTTCTGTATCAGTTGCGTTTTTGTATCTTGATTCCATACACGTACTACAATACTAAAAACCAAACTTTACTAGTTTGAAAAATACACTAAAATATTGGTGTCACAGGAACTTTTGTTGTTGAGTATATATCTATCTATATCTATCTCTATCTATACATATACATATATAACAAAGTATGAGTTATTTAGAATAACTGTCATAAAATAATCTTATGATTATCTGTACAATATTTCAGTGTTACCAAGATGACGATCTGTCTCATATTGCCGATACCACACATGTGTCCCTGTTCAGTCCTGAGTAAGAATCCAAAATGAAGATGCTGCGTTCATTTGGTTCAATTTGGGATCACCGTCTTCGATCTTCCTTACTGGTCCATGAACAATCGTCAGAGCCTTATGGAGTTGCACAGAGTCAGGAGACAAAAGTACTTGGTACTATACCTTGGGATGCCACGGACCTCGAGTACCTTGTAGGTTCTGGGCAACCAGCTACCCCTCACCATAGATCTCGCACTGTGATGCTCCTGTTCTTTCAAGTACTGATGGTATGAATGGCAAATATTTTCTCACCTTTTCCTTAGTCACCGCATCTAAGGCCCCCTTATTAGGGTCCCATAGGACCGTCACATCTCTTACAGAGTCTGGGTTCAGACAATACTGCCCAACCATGGAGCTTGGCAGCAGTCAGTACGGCGGTGCATATCTTGTTGTGTCATTTGATTCAGCTCCGTCTGCCCACTGACATGTCCAAGCGTCTCTGTATGAAAAACACACTGTCTGCTCTTCACATCACCTGTCGCACGTCCCCGATGCAGCGCCTCCCTTGTGGGGTAGGTGTTGGTGAACAGCTTAATAGCCAGTGAGTACTCGGACTCAGAAAGGGTCTCCCCCTGTAACCACCAGTTCGATGCTTTATTGTTCCTCAGTAGACATGTGCCTAGCCCTTGGACTGAATGGCACTCAGGAAGCCCCCATTTATCTTCCAGTCGTCTAAGGCACTCCTCCGCAATTATCTCTTCATTGATTGTATGCAACAGATCTTTAGAGTAAATAACCCGACTTTTTGATTGCACAATGCTAGATGGAACCATGTACCAAAGACAAGGGAGGCCTAAAGTACTCACGGAAATGAAAAAAAAAATGTTTTTCTCAATTTAAAAATCGACACAAAGTGTTACGTAGCTGTAAATACGAAATAACAAAACAACTCGAAAAGTACTAGTCTGGATTTGCTAGTTTGATCTCAGTGAACAATACAAAATGTACTGTACAGGAGGTAATTTGTCGACACTTTCAACATTCAAAAATAAAACTAAGTCCAAATTGACATGGCAGAAACAGACTATAGGTATTATGTACCTCTTCCCACCTGTCGTCAAGGTGTCATAGGTCACCTTGATGTACTTACACCTGGTCATGCCCTGTTTCACAATAGTCTGTATTATTCACATTTTTACACACTTTTACGTGTAAAAAGGCATAAAAACATTTGATACGCTGTATTTGTGCCACGGCCAAATAAGTACTAATTTAGTTGTTTGAAAATTTACATATTTTGTATATTAACTGCATTTATTTAAGATCTGAGGTCAAAAAACAGTTTTTTTTCATTTCCGTGAGTACTTTAATCCTTCGTCTCTACTACAGGTGTAAAGAAAAGCCGATGCAACTGTTGGATGAAGGTGACTTTATCTTTCACAATGTTGTCCAAGCGATCGAGCAACCCATAAGCGGGTCCCACTGTCGCAAGAGAATATTGGAGACGGGGAATCGCGTACTTGGTGAGGAGGCACACTTTTTGGCGGGGTTTAAGCAGCAATCCGGATATGCCTTTGCACCATTTGATCAGTGAATGGGTCCAGGTCTTCCTGTAGTCACTACCCACTGATCTACAAGAGCACCAAGGTACTTGACTGACGTACCTGGATCGGTCCATGGGATTTCGCCTTCATCGAGTACCGCCGCTACTTCCGTGTTCACTGAGTATGTTTGTTTCCCGTCTTTGGGTGTGATAGTGAAGCAGTATGATTTCCGTACATTCAGCCTGAGCCCTGTATCCCGACAAAACATCCCCACCAGACCCAGGTTGGTTCGATGACCTTCCATGCCACTACTTGCGCCAATACCACCAGTGAAACCACGTTGTCTAGGATATAGTGTGACTGATGTTTGCAACCTACTAGTGAGAACTTTCGTGTATAACCTTACTGCGACTGATGCAATAGTGAGTGGATGCCAGTTGCCTATGGCTCACCCCCCTTTTCGGCAGTAGTATACTCCTATTCAGGTTGAGTTGGTTAAGGATTGTTCTGGCAAACAAAAAGCTGTTGCAAAGTGGCACCATTACCCCGCCCCCCCCTACCCCCCCACCCCAATCTTCATCCTTGACACGGCAGAAAGCATCTCCCTAGGTTCAGTTGGTTTCAGTATGTCAGAGTTGACAATAAACTTGCCAGGAACAGGGTAACCAGTAAGATCAACTTCGATGGAGTCACCCTCGAACCTTTTCTTGTATGCAGCTTCTATTTCCGCAATAGGTAACGGACATGAAGTATCCTGTTTGCCATCAAGGATTTCTGCCACTTTCGATTATATGCCCAGAGCTGTTGCACCCTTCGAAATTCCGCCACTTTGCCCCTGAGATCGGCCCCCCATAGATTGCCTTTGCCTGACATTTTGCCTTTTCTTCCTTTGTTGTTTGTCATTCGCCCTAGCTGAACAAGCATGTCATCATAATCCTCTACAGATGCATGTCCAGCTAAACAATCATGCAGCAGAGCTACAGCCATGTGGGTTGTCACACATCGTGTCCTTAACCTTCTCATAGTAAATTCAGAATAGCTACCGTCTTTGATCATCAGTTTTCTCTCTTGGAGTTTCTTCAATCTCTCCTTCACCCACTAGGGGTTCAGTTGAACTATCCATAGCCAGGCCAAAATCCTGCTCCTCTTCCTTAAGGATGCATGTTTACTGCTTATTTGTTTCGCTGTTCTACCTGTTCTATTGTTTTTTAGCAATAAGAGTGTTAATCTGCTTGCACCCTTGGTTGACTACCTCAAACTCGTCTAGTATCATGACTTCACGACTTGTCCATTTTTGTGTCCGGGGGACAGCCACCTGACGAACCCATTTTCTTCTAAATTTCTCTGCTATTCTGCCTTCCTTTGGAATATGACATGGCCTTGACCTTAAACCAAAATTTCCTGAATATCCCACGCTCATAAACTCTTTACTCCCACACTGCCCACACAGCTTGCTCACACTCTCATCATCTCTCATACGGCTTCCATATTTCCGCCACTGTCGTACTCCTAGTTCCTATCTATAATCTATTACCTAGGCATACATAATAAACAGGACACAGATAGATAGGACACATTCAATCGAGTATAATTGTACCAATGCTGCTACGCAACTGAACAAGTTCACTTGGAGCCGTAGCAATTATTTCAACACATTTACAATTCAAGTATATACCCCTGTTCACTTCTTTTGAACCACAGTCTACCTCAAGATGTTACGCATGTCATCGATCCCAATTGCGTGGATCAATGCTCATGATATCAATCACTGGATTGTCTGGTCCAGACTCGATTACTTACAGACCACCGTCATATAGCTGGAATATTGCTGAGTTCGGCGTTAAACAACAAACAAACAAACATACATACATATTAGCCTGTCACAAAGCCAGCTCTTTCTGATGGTGAGCAGCCCTTACACCTTGAGTGCGCCGAGCTACGCCCTCACGTCGCTTGACCGTGAGCTGCATCCATATGTCTTGCTACGAGTCCCGTGCCAGTCCAAGCTCCGAGTCCCGGACACTACACAACCAAAGACACATTACTAACAGTGTCTGATACCATTCCTATAACAACCAAGAATGCGTTTACATACATAATGGAGTAACTTACATATGGTAAGCTGACATTGTTTTACTCAAATAACAAAGTTTTTCAACATGCCTAGCTTCAACCAACATCAATGAGAGGTTATTTACATACAAATGTGCCTTGCTCAAATAACCTTTATCAACTGCACTGACCCCAACTAACTGCAGGCAAACTTACTTTGCTAGCCCAGAGGTACAGTTACAGTGACATGAAACTACATGTCGTAGTTAGAACTTATAAAGTGATGTTTATGTACTATTTGACAGGACGTACTACATTGGCGCCGAAGCGAGGCTCATATGTCCGACTTTGTGAGGTATAGACTGTATACACAATTATGTAAATTCCAATCTCAAATGACATACTGCATATATTCACAAATTATTAAAGAAAACATAATACGTACAAACAATACAATCATTAAAAGTATAACACTCATGCCACGAAAGCTAGGGACATCACACAAACCGCAGGCACACCAAAACACACAGTCCAGACACACAGACCAACCTGGTCAACATTTCTCCAGTGACTGCCCAGAATTAAGATTCAAATTGTCCAAATAGCATGATGGTTAAATGTACAAATCAAGCAAAGCATGCAAGCCCATCCACTCACTTCAACCAGCTTACATAACTTCACAGTCATAATCACTTACAGTTCAACCACTCCTGTCAGACCACTCTCCAGCACACAACCCATACAGTTAAACCAAATTAAAATGACATTGTGATCTTGACAGTGTGCACTGGTATTGGACAAAGTGTTGGGAGATACGACGGTGTTGATCTTCAGTGAATTGTCAATATGTGTTTATAGAATGTATATTTTTGTGCCCAGACACTTGCATTATTTGGTGGGCTGGAACGACCTTACTGGACATTGATTCTATCATGTGTTTCCTAGCACTGTGATTACTGATGCGTTTGGCGGATGAAAGGTTGGCTTTGGAAGCCATGTTTTTTATTATAGCACCATTGCAGCCTTTTGAACCAGGATTTGCCAGATTTGGTACACCCTCTTGTGTTTGCTGCAAGATAGAAGGGATCTTCCCTTCCCCAAAAAATTGCTGGGTCTTAAGTAGCGGAACACCTTATAAACGTTGACTGGACAACATGAGGGGTCATTGGGTTGGGCCCAGGCCCTGGGTGTCACAGCAATAACACCCACGGGGTCCCCTCCGGTTCTGGTTTTGGATTGCCGTTCAACATACTCAATGAATTCATGATTATCAGAATCTCGTTTCAACTGAACATCCCCCCCCCCCAAGTCATTCTTCTGTGTGGAGTTATTGACCGTAGACCGCAAAAATTGTATTGTTCCACCATAGAGTGTTTAATATGGATTCAGGTGTGTTAGTGCCAAGCTGGCCTGCATCTCGGAGTTGTTTTATTTCACTGTTGGAAATAGGTTCCTCTCTGTAAGGTAGGTTAACCCTTTCCCTGCTTTTTAGTGATTTTGTTTTTGACTTGATGACATCCTGCATTTTGGAAAATTCAATTGAATCTGAAAGTGAGAAGCCATAATCTTTGCGTTTTAAGTGACAATCTAAACTGCCCCTGAATCCAATGAGTGAGCTTGTTTTGTACTCGGAACCATCCTGTTTCCTAACGCCAATGAAAACCTGGCAAATGGTCGTGTTAAGTTCAGTGGGAGGGATAACTTCGATTGGGCATTGCTCATTCAGCTTTTCTGAAAGAAACTGTTTGACAACTCGTATGTTGAATATACTTTTTTTCGGGTTTGCATTTTCATTTTCTGCCAGAAATTTGTCAATGTCACCATCATGTACAGCAACAAAAAATGACTGATTTAGACCAAAATGTTGGAGAGTGGCAGAATCACGCGTAGCCTATAACAAGGGACTTGTTGCTCACCCGTGTCAGTTTTTACCACAAAGACATTGAAACTTGTCAATGGGTGTATTATGTTCACTACTCTTCCAACCAATTATCCGTCAATCTTCACACAAGATCGTTAATTTTTATCGGGGACAACAAAGTAGCCATTGTTGTTTACATGCAGGAATAGCCTCCGATGCCAACAGGCAGAGTAACAAGCCACCACGCTTCATCGTCCCCTTGATATAAGAACGGAAGCGCTTATACGACTCCCAGGGTATGGAAATGATCACCTTTCTTTGTACTGTACAATCTTTCAGACAAAGGAATTATCTATGTTCAGCCTTAACGACTAGATACGTCGATATTTTAATTCTTCCCATGACAAATCTGACAGCCTTAGATAATGAGGCACCACCCTTCATGGTCACCTCAAAATAAGAATGGGAGTGCTTACATGGCACCCTGGTACATCAATGTCTCGGTGAATGGTTGAGGAGCGGGTTGATTTTGTCTACATGGGATTTGGCTGATGAAGACATTTTCCAAGTATCGTCATGGCACAACACGATCAGAGACCCACCTGGACTTTTCAACTTTACAGTATTATAGTCAGCCGAATCTAACATCTCCCATCCACTCTTCAACGGCTTACACTTTGTCAGTGGCAAGTGCTCCTGGGAATGCTCACGTCAGCCAAGGGTGTGACAAGCTGAGGTCGACTACACTTGGTCCAATCCAACAGTTAATTCCGCTTTACATAAGAGGTCAGAATCCTTGGCCTATCTGTTGCTCTACCCCCTCACCTCAAGAGTCATTTCAGCTGGTGGACGGTAGAGTCAAACATCTTAGGAAGCATCTCCTTAACAGAGTTATCCCCGATGTCCCACCTGTTTGTAGACACCTCTACAGGGTGAGGTGCACATCTAGAGCAGCAGACGACCTCGGGACTGTCGTCCTGTGCACTTGGCACATCAACAACTCAGGCCATATCACACTGGCAGGAGCACCTCCAGTACACTCAGCTCACCATCTCCACCAACAACCTCATGGTGGCCTGGTGCCTGCACCATCACGGGACGACACACTCTCACTCCCTCCTTCAACAGACATTCCGGGTCATGCATCTGGTACATCGGCAGGGCATACGTGTTCTCGTCCAGCACATTCCCCGATGTTGGACCGTTCGGGCCAGACAGGGTAGCTCCCTCGGAATGGAAGCTTCCTCCTGAGGTTTTCATCTCGTGTGTAAGTGCTTGGTCATCCCAACATTTCCCTTGTCGCCACTTGCCAGAACTACTAGATCGCATCTTTTGTCTCCCCGATCTCAGACTGACTCATCTTAAGAGCGCAAGGGGCAATATTGAGCAGGGTTGCTGTGGCACATTGACCTTTGACCCGAGACCTTTATGATGATAGGTGGCGTTCCTCTGGAACCTTTTGTAATGGAAAGGATCTGGACCCCACAACTGTGTCGCCTCAATTCTTTGCTGAATACCTCCCTTATCTGCATACCAAGCGACACCTGAAAGTAGGGGGGACTATTAAGCCAAAAAGACTATTGCAATATCAATAACTATTGCAAACAATTATTGCAATAACTATTGATATGAGAGATGTTATTGCAATAACTATTGTTGACCTTCGTTTAACTGCTGATCATCTATAACGCTCATCAATTATTTATACCCCGCAGGTAGCGTTGTAGCAAGGGATCACTGTACTGTGTGCTATTCAATCAAAATACGTTTTCAGCTTTTCATAAAGACAACACTAAAGTGCTATGAAATAAAACAAGTATGTACACTATTGAAACTATCGATATTCGTCAATTAAATCGATAGTATCGATTGCAAATCATGACTCCCATCGATAAATTGATATTGGGGCACTTACTATTGCAATACATCGATAGTCTGATGTATCGTTACACCCCTACTGAAAGGTAAACTGAAAGTGGGGTAGCGGGTATGCAATTATATGTGACCAAATTAATGAACTGAGATATGAAACGGATGAGGACACTAGACTGCACATAACCAACTTAAGACCCAGGACTGGCAAGCAAGTTCTTTGCTTTGAATAATCATCTAAATAAAAGTATATGCTAAGATTATATAGACATGCTTAACACTTTGTTACAGTACTGGTTAGTGTTTAGCTTTGAAATATATTGAAAAGTATCTTTTTTTTTCCAACAATCTGTTATCATGAAAAGGGAGATGCCATGAAGCCATGCTACTTCATAAATAAACCAAATATTGACTTACAGTTGGCATAACAACAACTTTCACCTATTGTTATCAGTCAAATTATTACATTGAACATATATTTGTTTGTAGGTTCATTGTATGTGGGTGTGGGTGTGGGGGTGGGTGTGGCTGCTTGTATTAGTCCGGACTGATGCCGATTTATGGCGCTAGCCCAGTGAGATGCCATGCCACAGTTTACCATGAATACCCCACTCAGACACAGTATACTGCCCCGAGCTGACCAGTCCTTGTTTTAGCCCCTAATGGGTGTACAATATACATCACATTCTACAACTCTGTTTTCCTGTAACTGAAAATATGGTAAATGGTGCATGGTTCTGGTCAGTTGAATTATTTCCTGTAACCTAAATTAAATATTAACGTAAAGACACAAGACCAAAGTTAAGTCTTCTTACAAATTCTTTTGAGAAATGGTATAATTGTTAATAATATCGTGGAATTATATAAAAATAACAATCATGTTGACCCTTAAATGTTTGAAGCATGGAAAAACCCTGCTCACATCCAGTTTTTATCTGATACGATCAGTGTTTGCATATTATCTTGTCTTCAGTAGTAATGTGTTTTAATGTGTGTTTCAGGAACTGACACTAAGGTCAAGCCAGAACAGGGCCAGGTACAAGGTCATGACAAGATATCAGCACAAATGGCAAGTACAACAGAGGGCAAGGTACAGACACAAGTGCAAGGTAAAAAACACTGTTTTTACTTTTGTGACAAAGTAATGTGATAAGCAGCTAGTTGGTCATAGTATTCACTGCCTTGACCTTCATAGCTGATGTCCTTTGAACAAGATGGTAGGCATGAAGGTCAATGGACTTGCTGTGGCCAAAACAAACAGTACAACTTGACACATACATGAGTGTATACTGGGCAGAAGCTCAGGCTAAAACATTACACATGACAGTAAGGTGATAGGAACTTAATACTGTCCCATCCAAACCACATGTCTGCCAGGGCAATGAGGGAATGGAAAACCTTTAAGTTGTTGCTGCCAATATATTCATCCTGCTGTATTGTAACAATCTCACGCAGGTTAATGTCTAAGACACAATGGACATGTCAGGGTGTTTGATCATCTCAAATGTATATGACGTACAGTAAAACCTTGTTATAATGAATTCAAAATCACTGTTGATAGCAGTTCATTTTATCCACGATTCATTACACCCAAAACTTAGTCTGCCATTTTGAATGTGCCCACGATCCATATTAGTCATGGTCAAATTAACACAACTGTATATAACCATTCATATTCACCATGCTCTTACAGGTCACTAATGTATTGGAAACTTAATTTCATATAAACTAGTGAAAGAATGAAATTTGTTAAGGAATTACTTGGACATTTACCAACAGGAATATTGCAGCACTCATATTCCGTAGAACAGTATGTGCAGTCTTTTGACATTTATCCATGTCACCTTCAGTCATCTGCACAACAAATGTTTGATAATTAGGACTCAGCTCGGTAAGAGGGATCATCAGATACTGCTTGTAATAAACTGAAGTAGAAACCATAGGTTATGTTTTAGGAGTTGTTTTTGGAATAAGGATTGAACTGGTGATAAGATCATTGAAACTAGTTGTGTGAGCAGTTACAATGGTGATTTACAACTGATTTGAGTAGTAGTGTTTCACAGCTAGGTCAGACCTGTCAACCCCTCATCATGACAATGGGAGAGATTTGACTTCAAAATGGGGGAGATTTGCAGCCAAAGGGGCAGACTTTTGAAACAGTGAATATAAGAAGATAACTTTCATATTAAAATATTTTTAGACAATGATTAATAATTTCTTGTACGTACAACTTACTTTATTTCTGTTTGCATTTCCCCCCTCTGAGAATAAACCTAGCACAATCTACCCATATCACATTCATTCAAAAATCATCCCGGATAAATCAGATATTGACAATAAACAATCTGTAGCTTGACCAGTTGACGATGTGTTCAATCCGACCAATTGTCAGGGTTCGTCATAATACAGGTTTTCTGAGTTTTTTGTACAATTTGGTAACAAAATATGCCAAAGAAATATTAAGTGCATTTATCCTGACGCAACATGATCACCCTTAATTTCTTTCAGATATGTTTATTTTATTCTGTCTGCGGTAGTCTGTTTACTTTGCTTCATCAATGTTCTAGAAATGTTCATGTTATTCCGTTTCCAAGAAATGTATGCCATATTTGGAAGTACTATTATATTTTACAACAATCTATGAATGAAATGAGCCTCGTCGTTGTTGACCTTTCTGACCTTGATGTGTATTAATCTCATTGGTTGACCAGTACTGTTGTATTCAAATAAGATTGCCGATCAGCAACGCCAGCAAACTATTTGCCAATAAGCTTGTTTAAAATAATCACATGATAAATTCTTGCGAGATTTGAGTTCTGTGTGTTGATATTTCTGTGCAGATGAGTCACAATGTCAGTCAAAAGGAAATTTAAAAATTTTACTTAAACTTTGACTTTGAAACCCAAGCTGTGAGGAAGTCTGAACATGTAACTCATTGTTATTTCGACTACTGAATCAACCAATCATTCTTGAGACGGCACTTGCTGGTCATGTTTTGTTTTTATTTCCGAGAGTTCAAATGGCATAACTTTGAGGTATACTGTTTTGATGTTTTTACAAAGTTTCTGACAAATCTGATAACCAATAAAGTCATGTATAACTGGGCCGGCCATGTGTATTTTTGTTCTTAAACTATGAAGGATAGGCTAAGAACATTAAGATAATAGTTCATTTAAGGAAGTGATAAGTACTCAGTTGATTATTCATTTCAAGTTCAACCCTTGACATGCTTCAGGCACCTGTTAGGACTATCCCAGTTTCTTAACAGTTTACAATGTTAAGTCATTCACCATATGGATTTAATTACCAGTTGATTACTAGACAAAGGCCTATCTGGGTCAGCTGGTGGATGACTGTCATTAGAAGTTGCTTATCGGGGAGTCTCCCGGACCGATCGGGAGGCATCATATGCATGTATGCAAACTCATTTAATATTATTCAGAAAACTTACTCGTAGATTTCCGTAATCGTAGACGTCCTGTTCTTTGTTTTTTGCTCACGGGACAATAGAGGGGAAGTTTTAAGATAATGAAAAATTCTGTTTTGCAGGAGAATGGTATATCATGCGTGAGACTGGGAGATTTTATCAAACTGCGGGAGTCTTCTACTAAATGCGGGAGGGTTGACAGGTCTGCTGGTTGTATTTGACACTCTTTAAGGTTCAGTAATATGTTTTATTTGTTTGTTGTTTAACAACACACTCAGCAATATTCCATTTATATGGCGGCGGTCTGTAAATAATTGAATCTGGACCAGACATTCCAGTGATTGATATTATCAGCATCGAGATACAATGACAGGCATCAAACAAGTCAGTGAGTCTGACCACCTGATCCCTTAGTGGCCTCTTACGACAAGCATGTTTGTTTCTGCTGTTTGCCTTCATTTTAGCCTTTGTGAATTGTTTTGAAACAGATCATTCATGTCATTGGTCAAGGTCATCTCCTTCAAGTTAGTTTACCGGAAACATAAAACTGGGAAAACATATCCTGAAGTTCATTTAAGCTGTAAAGCTCTGAGGTGTATCAACCGCTACATATGTTCAAGGTCAAAGGGAAGGCTATTTGCTATTTTCTATTTTTATATCAACTTGATTGGTTAATATAATGTACACATGGATGAAAATTAATATAAAAAACGCTAGTCCAAGTCTATTATGATTCTGGAAGGACCAGTGACATTTCCTTGTGTAGTACCTCTTTTATCATTGACTAGATGGCACTCTGTAGCAGATCAGTTTTGTAGACAAATGAAGATAGAAATTATTTTCTAAGGCTGATATGGCCCTAGTCACCATAGGATCTAGTCACCATGTGTGTTGACGTTCATCCATTAAAAGCTGTGCATCATTTTAGCTGATTGAGGTTGTCATAATGTTGTAGCATGTCATCAACATCTATTGACTAATTTGGGTGCTGTAAGGTTTGAAGAATTTGACAACCGCTGCCACTGCCACACAGTTTTTAAGACAGGGTGCATGGCTCAGGAATCATCTCACAGAGGTGTTTCTTTAATGTCTGGTCAGATGTCTGTCCAGTCCTGTTTGGGATGCTTTTGTACACCTTTGCAGCAAATGATGAAGCTGTATAACGGGGTCATGGGCAGGCATTGTATCATATGTGGGGTTGTCCTGACAAGGTTCTGTCATCTGATGTACCAATTGCTGTTGGTGCCAATTACAATGTCTTGAGGCTGTGCTCTGTGGAACATACTTTTGTAGGCCTAATCATGATGTTTCTCATGCAGCATGTGGTTCCCATGTGCTTTTACTTTCTGTATTGTTGGTTTTATGATGTTTCTATTCATTTAGCTGATTTCATTTTGATGATTCCAGCAATGCCAATATTAACTTTGTACCAAATGACATCTTATTCATGCTAATTATTTCATATGAGTATGTCAGCATCACCAATGTTTTTCGGTTTTTGTATGATTTCAACGTAGGTATATCAAGTGATGGCATTCTTATAATAAACAGTGGCAGGTCATGGGGATGGTCTTTCAATCAGCAGAAAATGATATATTTTCACTGTTGAGTTGAATTCTACCAGGGGTTCATTCAACATATGGTACTTGAGACCATATGGTATTCGTGAAAATTTCATTACTCATAATGAAGTGTAATACCCTGTTCCTTTCTAGCTTCTGGTGAAATTGCATATGGTAACATTGATAGTAGTATAAGGACGTTTGGCCTGACATACAATATCGACTGATGGCTAAAAGTTATCTTGGCCTGAAACAAGAACAAATGATGATGTTGCATACAGGGTGGATGCAGTAGCACTGGGAGAGTTGTGATGGCATTGTTTGGATGTTGGGCCCCACGAAACAATTTGACGTCTTGACAGATGATGACTCAACTGGTCTGAAGCAAGTCAAAATGATGATGTTGCATACAGGGTGAATGTAGTAGTCCAGGGAGAATTGGGATGCCATAGTAAAGATGTTGGGGTCAACCTCTCTGGCACAAATGCTCCCAGCTTGTCGGAGAAGACACACATATTATGAGCTAACAAAGCATGATAACTTGTTCTGCTGGGCATACAGGGTGAATGAAGCAGTCCTGGGAGAGTTGAGTTGCCATAGTATAGATGCTGGGCTCAACCAAAATAGCATACAGGATGAATGCAGTAGCCCTAGAACAGGCCTAACAATTTGACGTCTTTGCTGATGTGAAAGGCGAGTTGGCCCGAAAAAAAAGACAAAATGATGATATTGCATACAGGGTGAATGCAGTAGCACTGGGCGAGTTGTGATGGCAGTGTGTGGATGTCGGGCCCGACAACAATTTGACGTCTTTGCTGATGATGACTCAAATGGTCTCAAGCAAGTCAAAATGATGATGTCGCATACAGGGTGAATGCAGTAGCACTGGGTGAGTTGTGATGGCAGTGTGTGGATGTCAGGCCCGACAACAATTTGACGTCTTTGCTGATGATGACTCAAATGGTCTGAAGCAAGTCAAAATGATGATGTTGCATACAGGGTGAATGCAGTAGCACTGGGCGAGTTGTGATGGCAGTGTGTGGATGTCGGGCCCGACAAAACAATTTGACGTCTTTGCTGATGATGATTCAAATGGTCTGAAGCAAGTCAAAATGATGATGTTGCATACAGGGTGAATGCAGTAGCACTGGGAGAGTTGTGATGGCAGTGTTTGGATGTCTGGCCCGACAACAATTTGACGTCTTTGCTGATGATAACTCAAATGGTCTGAAGCAAGTCAAAATGATGATGTTGCATACAGGGTCAATGTATTAGCCCTGGAAGAGTTGTGATGGCAGTGTGTGGATGTCGGGCCGACAACAATTTGACGTCTTTGCTGATGATGACTCAAATGGTCTGAAGCAAGTCAAAATGATGATGTTGCATACAGGGTGAATGCAGTAGCACTGGGCGAGTTGTGATGGCAGTGTTTGGATGTCGGGCCGACAACAATTTGACGTCTTTGCTGATGATGACTCAAATGGTCTGAAGCAAGTCAAAATGATGATGTCGCATACAGGGTGAATGCAGTAGCACTGGGAGAGTTGTGATGGCAGTGTTTGGATGTCGGGCCCGACAACAATTTGACGTCTTTGCTGATGATGACTCAAATGGTCTGAAGCAAGTCAAAATGATGATGTTGCATACAGGGTGAATGCAGTAGCACTGGGCGAGTTGTGATGGCAGTGTGTGGATGTCGGGCCCGACAAAACAATTTGACGTCTTTGCTGATGATGATTCAAATGGTCTGAAGCAAGTCAAAATGATGATGTTGCATACAGGGTGAATGCAGTAGCACTGGGAGAGTTGTGATGGCAGTGTTTGGATGTCTGGCCCGACAACAATTTGACGTCTTTGCTGATGATAACTCAAATGGTCTGAAGCAAGTCAAAATGATGATGTTGCATACAGGGTCAATGTATTAGCCCTGGAAGAGTTGTGATGGCAGTGTGTGGATGTCGGGCCGACAACAATTTGACGTCTTTGCTGATGATGACTCAAATGGTCTGAAGCAAGTCAAAATGATGATGTTGCATACAGGGTGAATGCAGTAGCACTGGGCGAGTTGTGATGGCAGTGTTTGGATGTCGGGCCCGACAACAATTTGACGTCTTTGCTGATGATGACTCAAATGGTCTGAAGCAAGTCAAAATGATGATGTTGCATACAGGGTGAATGCAGTAGCACTGGGCGAGTTGTGATGGCAGTGTGTGGATGTCGGGCCCGACAAAACAATTTGACGTCTTTGCTGATGATGATTCAAATGGTTTGAAGCAAGTCAAAATGATGATGTTGCATACAGGGTGAATGCAGTAGCACTGGGAGAGTTGTGATGGCAGTGTTTGGATGTCTGGCCGACAACAATTTGACGTCTTTGCTGTTGATAACTCAAATGGTCTGAAGCAAGTCAAAATGATGATGTTGCATACAGGGTCAATGTATTAGCCCTGGAAGAGTTGTGATGGCAGTGTGTGGATGTCGGGCCGACAACAATTTGACGTCTTTGCTGATGATGACTCAAATGGTCTGAAGCAAGTCAAAATGATGATGTTGCATACAGGGTGAATGCAGTAGCACTGGGCGAGTTGTGATGGCAGTGTTTGGATGTCGGGCCCGACAACAATTTGACGTCTTTGCTGATGATGACTCAAATGGTCTGAAGCAAGTCAAAATGATGATGTCGCATACAGGGTGAATGCAGTAGCACTGGGCGAGTTGTGATGGCAGTGTGTGGATGTCAGGCCCGACAACAATTTGACGTCTTTGCTGATGATGACTCAAATGGTCTGAAGCAAGTCAAAATGATGATGTTGCATACAGGGTGAATGCAGTAGCACTGGGCGAGTTGTGATGGCAGTGTGTGGATGTCGGGCCCGACAAAACAATTTGACGTCTTTGCTGATGATGACTCAAATGGTCTGAAGCAAGTCAAAATGATGATGTTGCATACAGGGTGAATGCAGTAGCACTGGGCGAGTTGTGATGGCAGTGTTTGGATGTCGGGCCCGACAACAATTTGACGTCTTTGCTGATGATAACTCAAATGGTCTGAAGCAAGTCAAAATGATGATGTTGCATACAGGGTCAATGTATTAGCCCTGGAAGAGTTGTGATGGCAGTGTGTGGATGTCGGGCCGACAACAATTTGACGTCTTTGCTGATGATGACTCAAATGGTCTGAAGCAAGTCAAAATGATGATGTTGCATACAGGGTGAATGCAGTAGCACTGGGCGAGTTGTGATGGCAGTGTTTGGATGTCGGGCCCGACAACAATTTGACGTCTTTGCTGATGATGACTCAAATGGTCTGAAGCAAGTCAAAATGATGATGTCGCATACAGGGTGAATGCAGTAGCACTGGGAGAGTTGTGATGGCAGTGTTTGGATGTCGGGCCTGACAACAATTTGACGTCTTGGCTGATGATGACTCAAATGGTCTGAAGCAAGACAAAATGATGATGTTGCATACAGGGTGAATGCATTAGCACTGGGCGAGTTGTGATGGCAGTGTTTGGATGTCGGGCCCAACAACAATTTGACGTCTTTGCTGATGATGACTCAAATGGTCTGAAGCAAGTCAAAATGATGATGTTGGATACAGGGTCAATGTATTAGCCCTGGAAGAGTTGTGATGGCAGTGTGTGGATGTCGGGCCGACAACAATTTGACGTCTTTGCTGATGATGACTCAAATGGTCTGAAGCAAGTCAAAATGATGATGTCGCATACAGGGTGAATGCAGTAGCACTGGGCGAGTTGTGATGGCAGTGTTTGGATGTCGGGCCCGACAATAATTTGACGTCTTTGCTGATGATGACTCAAATGGTCTGAAGCAAGTCAAAATGATGATGTCGCATACAGGGTGAATGCAGTAGCACTGGGAGAGTTGTGATGGCAGTGTTTGGATGTCGGGCCCGACAACAATTTGACGTCTTTGCTGATGATGACACAAATGGTCTGAAGCAAGTCAAAATGATGATGTCGCATACAGGGTGAATGCAGTAGCACTGGGAGAGTTGTGATGGCAGTGTTTGGATGTCGGGCCCGACAACAATTTGACGTCTTTGCTGATGATGACACAAATGGTCTGAAGCAAGTCAAAATGATGATGTCGCATACAGGGTGAATGCAGTAGCACTGGGCGAGTTGTGATGGCAGTGTTTGGATGTCGGGCCTGACAACAATTTGACGTCTTTGCTGATGATGACTCAAATGGTCTGAAGCAAGACCAAATGATGATGTTGCATACAGGGTGAATGCATTAGCACTGGGCGAGTTGTGATGGCAGTGTTTGGATGTCGGGCCCAACAACAATTTGACGTCTTTGCTGATGATGACTCAAATGGTCTGAAGCAAGTCAAAATGATGATGTTGCATACAGGGTCAATGTATTAGCCCTGGAAGAGTTGTGATGGCAGTGTGTGGATGTCGGGCCGACAACAATTTGACGTCTTTGCTGATGATAACTCAAATGGTCTGAAGCAAGTCAAAATGATGATGTTGCATACAGGGTGAATGCAGTAGCACTGGGAGAGTTGTGATGGCAGTGTTTGGATGTCGGGCCCGACAACAATTTGACGTCTTTGCTGATGATGACTCAAATGGTCTGAAGCAAGACAAAATGATGATGTTGCATACAGGGTGAATGCATTAGCACTGGGCGAGTTGTGATGGCAGTGTTTGGATGTCGGGCCCAACAACAATTTGACGTCTTTGCTGTTGATGACTCAAATGGCCTGAAGCAAGACCAAATGATGATGTTGCATACAGGGTCAATGTACTAGCCCTGGAAGAGTTGTGATGGCAGTGGACTGACACAGAGGGTGACAAAAAGAGCTGGATGATGTTGCACATTTGATGAAGGCAGTCTCACCTAGCTGGAGGAATGTGCCTCTTGTTCACTCTGAAGATTCGGTGGGCTTGCCCAGACCGCTCGCCTCTTAAGGCGACCACTGGGAATAACGAGCACTGTGCTGGGACCGAATGCAACTGGCGACCAACCCTCTCATGACGTGACTGGACAGTGAGCTTCCTTCCTGTTGTGTGAGGTAGAAATGGTACATCGATAGACTGAGCAAGCGATTAGAACACAGGCCACAAATCTCCATGGTCAGCTCGAGCAGTGGATCTTGTGTTCAAACCTTATTTTTCTTGCGAAGTTCTTGAACTTTCGAGAGATCAACTGGGTTCGTTTTGTCAGACTGGCGATTAGACATGCAGTCAGAGTGACTTGACAGATGGGTTAGGGGTGACAGTGCCAAATAATTGTCACTGCGACCCCAATCGAGTGGCAATGTGATGAGCATGCAGTTCAGAGGTTAAAGAAACACAGTTATGGTAACCATGGCAACCACAAAGGTAGAATGAATCAGACATGTCAAAGTTGTGGGAAATGTCATTCAGCTGATGAACAATGTCCTGCAGTTGGGAGAGCCTGTTTGAATAAGATAGGTCACTTTGCATCAGTGTGTAAAAGTGAGAATCGACGTCTTCAGTTGGGAGAGCCTGTTTGAATAAGATAGGTCACTTTGCATCAGTGTGTAAAAGTGAGAATCGACATCTTCAGTTGGGAGAGCCTGTTTGAATAAGATAGGTCACTTTGCATCAGTGTGTAAAAGTGAGAATCGACATCTTCAGTTGGGAGAGCCTGTTTGAATGAGATAGGTCACTTTGCATCAGTGTGTAAAAGTGAGAATCGACATCTTCAGTTGGGAGAGCCTGTTTGAATAAGATAGGTCACTTTGCATCAGTGTGTAAAAGTGAGAATCAACATCTTCAGTTGGGAGAGCCTGTTTGAATAAGATAAGTCACTTTGCATCAGTGTGTAAAAGTGAGAATCGACATCTGCAGATGGGAGGAAACTTTCAGTTTAGATGAGGTCTAGGAAGATTCCAAAGTAACAGCAATCACTGAAGTGCTGCACCAAATAGAATTCACAGAACACAACAGTCTTCTGAGCATTTCTTTATTGGATCTACTGAGAAAGGTCAGGAAATTGTGTGACAATGACTGTAAATGGCAGAGCCAAAATAAACATGAACCTTGATTCAGGTGCCTAAATGAGTGTCTTATCTGATGACGAAATCAACAGAGTTCATAGCAGATTAGGTGCACTGCATCCAACTCAACCCAGACTTACAGCATTATGATGCCAGTAGATTACCAGTCATCACTGCTCACAACCTTCAATACTCCATTTGGGAGATGTCGATTTCTAAGATTACCCTTTGGCTTCAAGAATGCAAGCGAGATTTTTCAAAAGAGGATGGGCAGTGCTTTTGAGGGTTTTGGGAACACACTTATCCGACAGTTGATGACATTCTCATCACAGGTAGCACAACAGCTTAGCATGATGTTCGCCTGAGATAAACGCTCCAGAGGACCACATAGAAGGGTATGAAGCTGAATCAGATAAAACTCAGCTTTGTCAACAAGAAGTGAAATTCCTTGGGGACATTTATATGACTGAAGGCATGATGCCAGGTCCTGAAAAAGTTCCGGTAGTCAAGGACATGAACACTCTTTCTTGCAAGAAGGAACTGAAAGGCAACTTAGGCATGTTTACCTATCTGGCACAATATCCTCCCAGCTTGTCAGAGAAGACACACTTATTATGAGCTAACAAAGCACGATAACCTGTTCTGTTGGGCACCAGAGCATGAGGAAACTTTTCAAGAGATTAAGAATATGATCACAAAGTCACCAGTGCCTATATTACAGTATTTTGACCAAAAAACGCCAGTGACTCTAGAGACTGATGCATTGCCTTGTCTTGGGGTTGTCATATTTCAAGAAAAAGAACCAGAAGCTTTTGCATCTAAGGTGATGACAGATTCACTGAGGAATTATGCCCAAATATAACAGGAGATGCTTGCGATTCTATTTGGTTGTGAAAAGTTTCACTACAATCTGTTTGGAAGAAACTTCAAAGTCAGGACTGATCATAAACCGCCGGAAGTTGAATTCAAGAAGTCATTACATGTTTCTCTGAGACTTCAGATCTATGATGCGGATGTAGAATTCACGCCTTGGAAGAATGTTCCTGTAGCAGACATGTTGTCTCGACATTTCATAGACTCTTCATCAAACCATGATTTTCTGTTGAGGTAGATATTCAATCATATGTGCATATGGTGACAAGTAACTTACAAGTATCAGACAAGAAGATAGAACAGATTAGAAAAGAAAATAGTGAAGATGACCAACATGTGATCCTTACAAAGATCATCATGAATGGATGGCCTGAGACTTGGCATTATTGTCCAAGTAGCATCAAGGAATTATTATGGTTTTGTTCTGAGATACAAAACCTTCCAAATGGCGTGCTGGTTTTCTTGGGGGAATTAGTGAGCAAAGAGCCGGGTCACAGGAGACTAATCACAATTTTATTTGCGAGAACAATTAACAATGAACAATTTACAATATGTAAAATATAGCTGAGGGTGCCACAGAGAGTTTGTACAACACTCTGGGCTGTTGGTGAGAGGTCTGCTTGGTTAGAACGCCTAAACCCCTTCTGCTCAACATTTTCCTTCTGTATGTACTTAACAAAAATTGAACTATAAAAAGGCATATGATTGGTTGATACACAATGGGGATGAATGGCTAGACAAATGGGAATACTTAATCCTGTTAATCCTGTTGGACTGGCACTAATCTTTTGACATTTACTGGGTGCTTGTAAAGAGATTATGGT